CCCCAAAACCCCAAAACCCCAAAACCCCTAGTATCAAAGTATGTAACAATTCAGAGAATGCAAAAATAAATCAAATAATACTCGAACAAAATTATTCAATCAATCGTTCCAAGTCCAAATATTAAATCCTGAGCAGAATATTAGGATAATCAATGTCAAAATAATAATTCCAATATCAATCACCTTGCCCTTGGTATCTGGTTTGCAAATCACATAGTGGAACATGCAAGGCAAGGTAAATGCCACTGGTGTTGAAGCTATAGTTCCAATTAATGATAAGAATTTATCAAGTTTATCTCCAAGAAGAATGCAAATAACTAATGTAAAGACAACAGTCAATGTTCTTGAGAGATTTTTAAGCCATTATCTTTATCGAGATTTAGGCATTCTACTAAACAAGTAATCCTCAAAAATTAATGTTGCTGGGAAAACCATGAGTGCATAGGAGAATACAATATTGATGGCAAACATTATTTTGATGACATAAACTACCCAGCCTTGTCCAAGAGCCATTGTTATTAGAGGTTTATCATGAAGATACTCTCCATATGCGAACAAATTAAAGATTCCAAAACCTGAGTAAAGTACGAATACTGTCAATAAAACCATTGTTAGGATACGAGGAAATAATTCAGGGGCATTAGTAACTTCAAGAATAGGGATTACAACTCCAATTCCTTCATATGAATATACAGCTGATCCAATCATAGTTAGCCATGTGTCATTATTAAAAAGTTAAACATTATCTCCCCATCCATAATCCTTCACTCGAATGCAAGCATAAACTATGATAGCTATAGAAGCTATAACAATCATCATATCAGCAAATAGGAAAGTGAAGGAAAACTTCTCGATTCTTCTTACGAAACATAGTGGTGTTATTACCACAAGACAAAATACAGCTATATAAAGTAAATTTCAACTAAAAAGATTACCATACCAAATTTAGTCTGAATCAACATCCCAGATATCATTGACTACCTCTCTCAAACTTGTAATCACAAAATATACCATTCCTATACAGAAGCCTACCTGTTAGATGGCCATTAAAATATCAGCAACGATTTTCCCCTTAGTTCCAAAAGCTTTAAATGAAATTTCAGAAAAGGATCCACCTCCAAGTACTGTTCTTGCTTCAATCAACTTAATAATGCAGATTAAAGTCAAGAAGAATCCCAAAAACATCGCTACAGCTCCCCAGAGCCAACCTCCATTATAAAAGTTCTTAGGTGCGTACATAACTCCAATCGCAATAAATCCTTTGACAAGTGAGAAGTAAGTCTGAACTGGTGAAAGTTTCTTAATCATCTTTCTTTGCGATTCAGCGAATAATTTTTTCCTTATCTCAAGAGCAGTTCTAAAGATAAATATTATTGTGTTGGCAATTTCCAATCTTACTATTAGAGTTCATCTGGTAAGTCTAGTTCATCAACTTCTGAATCATCCACATATGATCCTCCAACTGAGAAAAAATTAACAGTTAAAATATTACATCTATTTTTTGCCATATATTGATCAGCAGTTAGCTCTAACTTTTTATCCTTAATGATACTTTGGACCTTATCTTAAAAAGATTTAGCCATTTCATTCATTGACATTGAATTATCATATGGCACCAAGTTTGAACTATTAAGTTAAGTTTATTCGAAGTTATTACTCAAAAGGATTGCTTTAAGGCTAATTGTTGAAGTTCTTTTAAATTAGCTGATCTTTATCTGACATTGTATTTAAAAGATTTGTAATATTTTATGTAAAATTTAATATCGATAAATTATTTGATCTAATGAAATTATTATAATTATGAATCATTTAATAATCACACTGGCACAGAAATTCAAGTTTACTATAACAATTGACACACCTTATATATATTTATCCTTAATAAACCATATCAAAATCTCATTTTCATTGGTCGATGCACTTTAGAGTAGCATTTATCAGCATCATAAGTTCCACAAGGTGGTACAAAAGCTTTTTCTTTGGCATATTTTGCCGAAAAATTAGGTGTATCCGTCTTAGATATAATCACATTATGAGTTTTTTTATCTATGTTTTTATATGACTTGCTTGGATTATAAGAGCCCATATCAGGTCCTTCCTTCTTTTAAATTTTCCAGTCTTCTTTTTCTACTTTCTTCCAACTAAGACCTGTTACTCTCTTCTCATAGAATGCTCTCTAGTATTGATAATTGTAATATATTCCTTACTTTAGGATTGAGAGCACCAGGACCTAAATTGAATGACTTTCTTTATATTTCATCATCAATATAGCTCTTTTTGTCAGTTTTCATTTGCACACTACCCTAGACCTTTTCAAATAATACTGCCTTAGGAGCATACTAGCCTGGAGCAGGAGCATTTCTTTTTTCTCTAATTGCTTCATCAGTGAATACTGGGCGTTTAGGTATTTTGTTAATATCAACCGACTTTCTCCTCTCTTTTAGTCTTTGCTTTTCTTGCTCAATTGTGTAATTTTTTCTTTATTCATATTTGCCAGGCCCAGGATTACCTCTATAAGGCTTTGATTCCAAATCAAATATATTAGTCATATCTTTGGGAAAGGTCCAATGCGGGCCTTCTGTAGGTAATAATGGTACACGGATTCGAACGCTCCACTAGACATTTAAATTAGCTGTTCGTGGTCTCATCTTGCTCATTAGACTTTTGTCAGATTTTAAATTTGTTAAGAAATGGTTCACTATAGAGATTAATACAATTATATTGGCTTACTTCTTGTAAAAGGTTCATCATTGACCACAAGATGAAAGGAATCAACACTCTTTAATTTGCTCATTTTTGGAGCAATATCCTATTAAATTTTCTCAGTCATCTGATTTAAGTAATGATTATTAAATTTTTAATTATAATTGTTAATTATTTAAATTCAAATGCAGTAGCCCATCCAAGAAAAGGAAAGATAGGCAATTTTAGCTAAAAGACAAGAGATTCTAAACAAAATTAATGCTGCTAAACAGTAACAGATCTAAACAAACAAAAATAGTTTCTAATATGATTCCATTGATGCTTAAAATAACAATGTGAAATTGCTATAGAATGATGATTTGTCAAACATAATCTCTAGAGAATCTAAGAATTATGATCTTCTGAGTTAAATAAGGCAAGCCTATGAATTCGATGATGAAAGATCTCAATTCAAGAATAAGTAATTGAGATTTTAGGATTATATTGAAAATAACACAGCTTAATCAACTACTATCCTTGACAGGTCAAGCAATAATAATTCAAGACATTCTTACCTCTAAAAAATAAGCAATCAATTTGGACCTAAATAGTTTAAGCCTAAAAGAGATAAGTCAATAAGTAAATTAGAGCTAAATGCCTCTGATTCTCCAAGTAGAAATATAACAGTGGAGAAATCATTGAAAGAATCTAAAGTAAAGATCTTGAATTAATTCAATCAAAGATTGGAGACAAAAGAAACTCAAAAAACACAGAAAATTGAAAAGCTCAAGAAAGAAATAGAGGATCAAGAGAAACTCACTTGCACTTTTAAGCCAGCAATTAATGAGAACACTAAAATGAGAGAAAGTTTAGAAGATATTTCAAATCAGAATCCATATGATAGGTTGTCGTAAGATGCTATGATACGTAGATTTAAAGAGGAGAAATTAAGAAGAGATATTGACCAAGAAAGACTCAAGGAATGCTCTTTCAAACCCATAACTAATGAATCTAAAAGTTTCAAAAAATCTAGAAGTCAGGCTAATTTTAAACAAATTTAAGAAAACAAAGAGAATTACAATACAATCTAGCAAAAACATTACACCTATAATTAAGAGAAACTAAGGGAGATCTAGGATAAGCCTAAGATTAACAAAAAGAGTTAAGTAATTGCCGAAAACAAGGTAGATCTCTCTTAGCCTGTGTATCAAAGGCTTTATTCTTAGGCAGATGAAAAAATTCAAAGAATGGTGAATCTGACCTATGATTAAAGACAATAATCTTAAGTTGAACCTTCAACAAACACTCATTTAGATGTTGCGCAATAAAATTTCATGGCAGAGTTAGAAAATAGAGAGAAATTCAGAAATTTCCTCGAGAGATAGTAATAGTTTGAGTAGAATAAGCTTTAGAATCTTGAGAATGCCTTAAAAGAGACACAAAGACATAAGGACTACACATATGAACCTGAGATAAATTAGACTAGCAGAGCTATTGTTGAATAATACTACTAGAATGACGATAATGTTTACTCTAGGCTATATAATAAACCCTCAACAACTATTAATTTTACCCAATTGAATCAAGATTTAACTGAATTTATGCCTTAAATCAACTATACTTCTAAAGTCATAGCCGCATAGAGAGATTGTCTTAAGGAACTTACATAGGCTGATGGGAAAAGTATAAACTAAAAATAGCAGGAATATTTAGAGTATAAATTAAAGGACTGTACCTTTTAGCCTAAAATTAATCAAAACTATCAAGTTCTAAGTGGATTAGAAGAGGTCATTGAGGATTCAAAGCAATTTCATTTAAAAAGAGATCAGTGGTAGCATTAGCAATAAGCAGAGAAGACCTATTAGGAAATGAAGTAGTGCACTTTTGTTCCACATATCAACTCATAGTAAAGATGGAATGATGATCCACATGTTGAAGTTAAGGGACTTGAGAGATTCTTTGAATTAAAAGATCTTCAGAGAAGATAATAAGCTGAATAGGACATGAGAATAAAGTAAGTGTTCAAAGATGGATCTACATTTGGAAACAGCTTATCAACCACTCCAATTTAGCCCTAGCTATAAACTAGTAAAAGAGCTATTGAAAGAAAAGAAGCTAGCAGATATTGATAATAAATCACAATTAAGACTAATTCCTATTAAGATTACTTTGACTTTGAACTACTACAAAATATATCTGAAACTTGATTAATTTCTTAATTTCATAAATCTACAATACAAATAATATCACGGGGTTTTGGGGTTTTGGGG